CCCAGGAGGGGTGTTTTTGAAGTCGTTCCTGTCCTCAGAGTTACGCTGGACAAGATGGAATCGACATGATGATGCCCCATTTGATCCGGTTGAATATTGTTTGGAGTCTGGAGGGTCTTCGCAACGTGCTCATTCGTTCTTGCAAAGTTCGACAAACATCTTCAAACTGCAGCTGAGTATCGTATTCTCTCCAGTCGTTCCTGCCTCCGAAGCTTCTTTTCTCTTCTGGCCTCTCCTGCGAACCCACTGCCAAGCAATCTTTCTCTACCAAGCCTCTCCTGTCCAAAGACTTGTCAGTTCCTCCAGAGGAACCCCTGCATGAAGTACTATCCATTCGAAGGGGAGCTCACCCTCAAAAGCTCGAAACTACTACTAAAACACCTCTATCCAATGTCAAAACATGTCAAAACCCTGTTCAGCAGAAGGTTCTTTCTCTCAAGCTTCTTGAGCACTCAAAAATACCTGCAACATCCTGCAACATGCTGAGTGCGTCAAAAACCATAAAGCTTTCACAGCAACTTTGGTTCATACTCACATAAGTCAACCATCCTCGCCATGCTTGTCTTCCTCCCCCAGTCTCCTCGGAGGCTTCGGACCTGGCTTTCCTCCGTGTCCTCCGGGTATACGCTTGGGGTCTTTACGCTTCGGATCTTTTTCAACTCCCACGGCCCACGTCGGTTAAACTTCTATATCTCGGAGGATTCGAGAGAGACCTGACCCCGTTTCACGAAGCCAGCATCGCACCTCCGGACTAGCTTCAATTCAGATAATTAGATGGTATTGATATTAGTTTCAAAGGTTCAGAAAGGGACATGTTCATGATTCCTCACTGTCAAAACGGATCACACTGCTCAAACCAGCCCCTTGGTGGGACTCCTTCGAGAAAAACACACAAACCGGGTCCGGAGCTTCTGGACGGTCAACGAGTGGATCCTCCACCGCATCAAAGAAGTCGTCCTCCTCCTCGGCCCCAGTCGTCGAGTTCGGGTGCCCATCGTCCTCGCCGAAGCCAGGTTCTCCATCATCTGCAGTCCTTACAATTTGGGAAGACCTGACCTAACCACGGTTCTGACTAATTATACAAGTGAGTTAACCACACCTTACACAAATTCATGGGAAATGCAGCTCGACAGAGAAGAGGAAAAGCAACAGAAAAAGCCGGAGAACCTCCCAACTGAAAGTGCGCTGACCATTCTAGACAAAACGGCGACCAAGGATGCCATGCCAAACTGGCTTCAGCAATTCAATATTAGATCTCTCACACCTTTCTATGCTCTTAGACATTGACACATGCCCAAGCAAATTCTGCCCTCCTGAACCAAACCAAACCCAACTAGGCGGGGTTCAACTCATGAACATGTGTGTCTGCACCTGGAATTAAAAGCAATCATCAAATGTTTTACAAAATGGAGGGTATGCTGTCAATATCTACTGCACTTAGTTTGTATATCCACGTTTCAAGGCACAACACTTTTCGGCGTGCGAGCCATTTCCCTGTCTTGCACTTGGGGAAGTGGAGTTTGAGGAGGGTCCCTTTTTGGAGGGACGTTTGTAGACCTCTGTAGCCCACAACAACAAACAAATGACAAACACTTTTAGCAACCTTCAGAACCGTTCTGAGTGGCATGGATGTGAAGCACTTGGCCGGTGGCAGGTCCGGCATGAGAGCTTCTTCTTCGGACTCCTCTCCTGCAGCTGCTCGGGCCGCTTTCGCTTTGGCGGCCGCACGGAGCAGCAAGTCGATGGCAGTCCTTCTTTGATTCAAGGGATCCTTCCTTCTACAAGAGCACCCATTTTGTTGGCAAAAAATGCACAAAGTAATCCACCCAAAAACCGGTGTAACGGTGAAAAACATGAAACGATAAGAACGAAATAGAACGAACTTGCTTCTTTCAGGCCCAAGTTCTGATGGTCATTGCCACTTCCTTGACTCTTCTTTTTCAGTTTCTTCTTCACCTTCTCTGGTTCCTGTGTTGTCGTGACCTTCTTCCGGAGCTTCCGGAACGCCTGTGGGGCGCTGGCACTGGCTTCGTCTGCTCTGGTGGCCTTCATGGTTTTGGTTTTCTTTGTCTGCTTGGCTGGCTGGATGGGTTGGTTGGCTGAGTGGGTTGCTTTGCTGGATGCACTTCGGGGTGTCTCCTTCTTCTTCTTCTTCAAGGGGATTTCCTTGGCTTCACGGGGTGTTGGGGCTTTCTTGGGCCTCTTGGTGTTCTTTCCTTTGGCTGCCCCACCCTTCACAGCCTTGGGCTTGGAAGCTGGCGACCTAAGCACGAGGCAAAGGAATCTTGAAAACATGTTGCTTCTCCACCCTTGATGCTTTCTGCATCTTTCTACAGAGCTTTCTCCCGTTTCTCCTGCTAATCATTCATGTGTTGCTTTTGGTTGCACCAGCCAAAGCCGACAAAGCCGACTGGTAGGAAGTGAAGTGGCAGGGGGCATCCAATCCTGATACAAAGTAACCAAACCAGTAAGCACTTCGATGCGGCCTCAAGGTTTCTTCCAATTCAACAAGTCGGTGAACCACTTGAATTCCCACGCGAACTTCTTAGCAAAAACCGGACATGGGAGTGATGGGAGGGAAGATGCAAGATTTCAAGCCAAAATCATGAGGCAACAAAATACACACACAAGGAGAATCCCTGAACTGCATCCTCAACTCCCTGCAAACAACATGACATGGTTTATGAGGAGTGCCCTGACCCCACTGCCAACTCTACCTGACGCAACGTCCGAGGGTCTGTTCATCAAGGAGTTTCACCAGCTTTTCCTCGAGCGCCTTTGCAATGTTGGCCCGGCCTGAGCGTTGAGCAGCCTCCAACGATTTCTTACCTCAGATGATCATGATGCCGAAAAAGTTATATAGTACATGCAACCACACATGTGGATAAATGTGACAAACACGTGGGATATCAAGAGATTCCTGTTTGGACATGGCGGTCTTCTTGGGAAGCATCCTTACTTTGACAAAATTCACCACCGACGGGTCCTTGATCTTGGAACAGTCAGAAATTATCATAAATTCATACTAGAACCCAGTTGGGTCACACCTTGAGTTATGCATATTCAATCCAACAAAACATTCATTCATTCTTTCCTTTTTTCATTCTGCATGTTAAGTGAGTGTCCTAAGCCTATACCGCACCACGACATCAAAACACAATTCAAGCAACTTGAAATGCTTTAAGCAATCTGTCTTGAGAAGCTAACTGAACCAAAAGACAGGCTTTGATCTTCTCTTCCAGGGGCTTGTCCTTGATGAACCAGCGTGATTGCTCACTCATGGGTCAAGATTCGGGGCTTCACAGCCGTGAGTGATGTGTAACAAAAAGGTTCTCTAAACCTCCAAGACACCTCACCTTTGTACTATGTACGACTAGCAAGCAAACAAAAAACACACCAAACAACACAGATGTATATAGAACGTAAACGCGGATTGGAATGTACAGGTAGCTAAGGCTCTTTACAAGTTTCCATATTCTCGTTCTCTCTTTCTGTGCATGTCAAGCCAAAAAGCTGCTGAGATGATCGGAGCTCGACTAAAGGCATCCAGTTTCACTTCTGGCTGGGTATGCAGGTCTACGAGTCTACGCCTGGGCAGGCAGGCGGTAAAATATGACATGGCATGATGACAATGACGATCATATGTCCTGTGGACCAAAGGAACACCATGCGGCATGCGGCATGGCTCACCAATCAAAACCACCCAGCCGGTGCCATCCAAAGCTCCGACCGACGGACTGTCACGCCAATCATTCCCAGGCCACCGACCGGCGGCATTGACTGGCCTGTCAGGTCCATGATGCCTCCCAAGTATTCATTCAAAAGCAGGTCGAAGTGCAAGCCACTACAAGCCTCGGTGGTCCAGTGCCAGACTTCACGTCTCAGCTCTGTGAAAATGCCTCAAGAACAAGCCAGCACATGCGTTTGCACGAGAAACTAATGGTTGTTCTTCGCTTTCATGGAGTTCTACTCCATGGAACTCATTGCTCAGTGCGGTCTGTGACCACAGCTAAGACATGTATTAAAAAGAGAAGGTGTGCGCCTGGCCTCCCAATGAAAATCCATCAACACCTTCCTCTCAGCGACAAAATGATTACTTTTCCGCGCAATCGAGAGGCTCTCAGAAAGTGTGCCAAATGTGTGTCCCCGGTCCCAAGGTCAGAGCTTGCATTCCAGCAAAATCCAAGAGTTTTCCATCTTTGCCTCGGGTGTTGGCACTGAACGCCAGGATTTGGGGGCGCGTCCTTCATGTGACACAGCGGGGATCACTCAGCGCAACTACTTCAAGAGACTTCAGGACTGGGCGGAAGGATCGATAGGCGAGAGCCTGGCTGCGAGGAAAGCACCCTCTCTCCCTCTCCCTCTTTCTCTCTCTCTTTCTCTCTCTCTCTCTCTCTCTCCGCAAGCCCTGTGAGATTCCCAACATCTGTGCTTCATTTGTTCAGCGCCAAACTAAATGGGGCTGTTTCGTTGTTCCGAGCAGCCAAGACTTTCTTCTGCACTTCTCGGACTGAGCCCGCACTTTCGGGGAACCCTCGGCTCCCAAAGAAATCGATGGCCTCAGCCATCTCTTCCAGCGCCCCACTGAAGAAGCCCAGGCCTCGGGTGTTTCACATCGTCGACTGCAGCGACTGCAGCGACTCAAAACACGTCCAACGGTGGAGGCACGCGGAAGGTGGACCACTAACTGAGATAGTTGAGACCTAGGCACGGCTCCAAACCTTCCTTGCACAAAGATGCGCCCCAAACACAGCGGTTGCATGTAAATACAAGGGGAACAGCACGGCTCGGCGTCCGAGGTCCACGTTGTTGGAGGCTTCGGCTGCGCATTTTCGCAAAACCCCTCTATTTGGCGCTGCTCTTCAGTGCCAGGCGCAAGGTGGGTGAGTTGCAAGCGAAGGCCGCATAGATGGCGTTTGCCTGCAACATGAGTGGCACTGCGTGGAGAGTGGCAACTCCAAAACCTTCCAAACTGCATATCTGGCATGTCTCTTTCTCTGAAGGTGGCCGTCACATCCGTCACATTGCGTTGCTTTATGTTGTTTTGTAATCTGCAGTGTAATCTGCATGCTGCTGCCCAAAAAACTGTAACCCAACTGTGTCTCACACAGGTTAATTGCTGTTCATTCACTTTCCCTCGGCTACCAGACCTGTTCAGCACAAAGCTCGATCTGGGAGTCTGCCTGATCAAACACATTTGGTTCACCGTGACCCTCCCAATTCACCGGGCCACAATCTTGTAGCAAGCTGCTTGAGCCAAGTTGAAAGGCTTATTTGGCGTTCCTATGCCTCGAAAACACTTAAGGCCTTGACTCTCTTCCAATCTTCGCCTTGGCATGTGACAGGAAACGCATGGAAACGCCAAGGTTGGAGTTGACATAGGACCACCACCATGACAACAGCATATATTTTGCAACAGCATGAGCTACCGAACCTCGCGGCAAACGCTGGACCTGCTGACGTTCAGTGCAACCCTGAGTCTCAGGCGTTGCAGGGCATAGATCGCGTTCCTTATGCAAAAGGGCAAGGGAGTCCCACCTCCTACTGCACATCAGCTCACTGCTGCCACATCCAATCTTGAGAAGAAACAAGGTCTACCCTCGTCAATATGCAAAATCCACTTTGTAAAGGAACATCATCTCAAACCAGTCCGAGTCCAAGCCTGGTTAGGAGGTGGAAGCAACAAACTGCAAACCGGCGAACACCGAGCACCGTGGATGCCCGATACCCGAGCGACCAAGGAGCTTCGCTGATTTCACCACATCGCGGGACTGTTTCATCACCTGCGCAATTAAGCCGGAGAAACCTACAGCAGAAAAACACGAGAGTCTTATCATTTTCGGGGATGAACCCCAAACAGAACCACTTAATTATGATATTTTAGCTAAAGATTGAGTTCCTAGTCTGCACTTGCCCTTTGTTGAAACACGATGCCATCCACGTGCTTTGTTGGTTCAGCAAAAGGCAACAAACGCGCCGAGTGCTATCGCCTGCTCCCGGTTCTCGTCAAACTGATCGTATATGATCTTGCTTTCCTGGTGCTGTCCATCCCAGTTCCAGCTACAGCCACTGGCCCAGCCACAAAACCCAATGGCACTTGAGAAGTATATAATCCATTTTAAAACTCTAAAATGAGGTCCAGTTTCAATCTATATACATGATCTGCTCAGCACCAGTTGACATTTTCAAAAACCTGGACCTCAAGGAACCACCACCCTATGGGGTTTGTTCCTCGCTCGGCTACCAACCGATGGCGCATGAGTTCCACCCCCCGGACGCGAACAGGACCTCCAACGTCTGGAGTGACAGCGCCGTGGTCTCCAGACCGCCCTCCGTCTCCAGACCGCCCTGCCGCGGTGGACTGCCAGCACGCTGCCTAAGTGGTCCGTGCAGTCGATGAGACCTGAAAATCCCCCAAGAACCAGAAGCTACTAGGAGCGATCGGACGCTACGATCGGGGCTCCTGGCCTTACTAGGAGCGATCGGACGCTACGATCGGGGCTCCTGGCCTTATTTCTACTAGGAACAAGGACGCTACCAGCAGTCCATGAGCAGTTCGCAAAGACTCAAATTCGGGATGCTGGGCTACAGCCCCCGAAAAAACTCCGGCCACTTCTCGGCATAAATTGTGCTTTGTGTATGTTTATGGTCTTGGCCATGCATTGTGGTGGTCCTGGTTTTATCATTGTTGTAAAACTCATGGCCTTTGGGATTTTTGCGGAGCAACCCCGTATTGTGTACACGATTGCAGGAAACTGAAAATATCCAAAGATCATCACGCAATTGCACAAACCACCAGTTTAGGCCCAATGAACCTGCCGTCCCATGCAGGGAATCATCTTTTTGGGTGAAACATGTTTCAAACATGTTCACATGGCAACAGCGAATCACTCTGAATCAGGCCTTCAAAGTCAAGGATAGCAAAGGCCCAAGCCTTGCCAAATCAATCTCATAGGAGAGGGATTCAAGCCTTAGTAACTGCAATGCATGTTGCCCTCTCAATGGCCGTGGGGTCTCAAAGTTGTGGGCTGACTCGAAAGACAGAATCACTACTGGCCGTGGTTCTGTGTCTTTGGTGGTGCTGGGGCACAAATGAGGCTCACAAGGCCACACGCTTCCACGGCCTGGGACCTGGGATCGGGTTGAAGAACATGTCCGCTGGATGTATATGTCATCCAAACGCATGGTCGATGCCATAGTTCCGCACTTCCAGTGGTTGTGATGTTCAAGGTCTCAACTTTAAAGACCACTTTGCTTACATGCCACTGTGCAACCTGCCTTTGGCAGAGGCTTTCGGCTAAACCGAGCTGCGGCACAAACATTAGCAGGATGCAATTGGCCTGCAGACTGCGGATCCTAATCTGCAATGGAAACCAAAGTCCAAAAAGCTACGCCCATGGAAGTGGAACATGGCTCTTGGAGGGCTTTGCTTCTCTACAATCAATATCCAACACAAGGGGGTTCCACTTCCTGGCACTGAAAGGCCTTTCACCGATGGAATAAGCGTCTGTCTTCCAGGCAGCTGCTACTCGAAGTATTAGACTCGCAGGTGAAACTTCCGATGAGGGAAGTCTTCAGGCCGACATGAAGAGAAATCCCACGGCCCACAACCACCTCCAGAGCGTGGAGGGAAGGGTTCCAGTAGCCTTGGCGCAATACATTGGAGTTTCATGGGCAGTAGGTGCAACATCCCTACCTCTAGTGAGGGGGGGACCTGGGAAAATGTAAGCTACATTTAGCCACGTCCTTTCGTTAAAAGGTGTAAGTGACATTTGGGCACGTACCAGGTAGGTACCTTTAGGTAGGTAGCAGGTCTGGAACATGTAGATACCATTTTGTGGCGTGCGTTTCTCTTCTTGCTTTGCTTTGCCTGTTCCTTTTGCAGCGTTTGCTCCTTTGATCTCCTTTGTTCTTGCATTTTTTTTGCTTGGGCAGTTTTGGAAATTCTTTCACATAGGTATCTTTATATTTTATTCTAGTGGCTGACTCCGTGCAATGTGGGATTCTCTGCACAAGGGCCACTGCTTGTGATGCCTCCGCCAGATCCTTACATTCTTTGTGAGGTTTCGGCTTCTCTTGTTGTTTTGCTTGGCCTGTACCTTTTGCACCGTTTGCTTGTTTGTTCTTGGATTTTGCTTGCTCGATGACAATTTGACCATAGGGGGGTTGCATGGGCAGTTTTAGAAACTCTTTCACTTGGGTCACCGGTCTCTTTATTCTAGTACTGTACTGTAATCTTTTGGGTGACTCCGTGCAGTGTGGGATTTTCTGCACAGGGGCCACTGCTTTTGATGCTTTCTTAGTTTAGCTTACATTTTTTGTAAGGTTTGCGCTTCTCTTCTTGTTTTGCTTTGCCTTTTCCTTTTCCACCTTTTGCTTGCAATGTTTCTGCTCGATGACCATTTGACCGTAGGGGGTTTGCATGGGCAGCTTTGGAAATTCCTCGGTGCAATGTGGGATTTTCTGCACACGGGCCACTGCTTTTGATGCCTCCAGGTTTTGGCCTCTCTTGTTGTTTTGCTTGGCCTTTTCGTTTGGCATGCACCTTTTGCTCCTTTTTCCTTGCAAATTCTCTCTTCGATGACCATTTGACCATAGACTTAGAGGTTATCATGTGCAGTGGCAAACCCAAGAACCAGTCAACAAGTGCCAAATGCAAAAGTCATCAAATCTATGCTTGGGGAGATATGGACTCTAAACCACCTCGCCCTAACCTGTGTATTTTTCATTCCCTGCCAACATCGTAGCACAAACAGAACTTCACGAAACGCACCAGCAGCATTGACTCTGAAATGATGTAAACTTCTGAAGTGACATAACAGCAGTCGACAGCAGTCGTGGACCCCTCGTTTTGTGTGCAGTGGAGATCATCCCTACCACACTTTCAACAGAACCACTACTAGTGTCGCTAGAGAGGTTACCTTGCAAGGTCCACACGTCTTTCCGGCAAGGTGCAAGGTCTTCGCACTGAAGGTTCACTTGGGGCTCACTGCTCATGCAGCCACTGGCGGAGCATTGAATGGTAGTCAAGGTCCGAGAGAGGGGGAACTCACTTCCACCTGCAGTCAAGGCGTGTGAAGGTGCAAAGTGGTCCTAACCTAAGAACATAGGGTTGAGGTGGCGGATGAATCCAGAGAGGAGTCTTCACTTGTGGCGGACAACACTTCGCCCATCTCCAAATCAAAGAATGGATTGTTATTTCGGTGATGATCATCTCGACATGACCCACCAACTACCCGACTGGTTTGTGGAGGTGTCATAAGGCCCCTGGTGTCCTTTCTCCACTAACCACGGGCGAATCCCTATCCCGGCTTCGCGTGTGTCGATCGAAGCTGAGGAGCTTCCAGGAGTCTGGCCCGACTCGTCCAAGCACCAAACACAAATCGAAGCCACTGCCCCCTCCCGCACTTGCAGAATCTCCTGACTTTGTGCGATGTTTGAGAATCTCCACAGTCGGATGTTGACGTGACCCGATTGATTTTACGAGTACGTAAAGTCGAGTACGTAAAGTCAAATGATGTCAAAGAACACAAGAACATCTGTCATTTGACTTTCAAGTGATTGGACCTCCTTAAGATTCCCCGATGCTCCAACCACACGTGGTACTTCCACATCTGACAGCACCCATGAGCAGAATCTTCCTGGACTATTATATAACCATGTAACATGTTCGAGTGTGTTGGGCGCCAACAACGCCGCTAAGGAACTCCGGCACTGCGCTGTCTAGGATGGGGAAAAGCTAGTTTCTATCCCAGCCAAATCCAGCCTGTTTCATTCGACCCATCTCGACCCATCTACATCATCTACACCCATCCTGTGGGACTGAATGTCGAAGTCAAACTCGCCCGGTCAGACGTGTGGAGAAATTGCGAAGTGTATGCCTGTTCTGTTTTTTTCATCCACTCAACCTCTGCTTGTTTTGCTGTGAGCCCATCTTACATCATACTACTTCCGTATCTGCATGCGCTCTATATCAAAGTTGGAGTGGTTGCTCAGCAATACCAACAATGTATAGCGAGAAACAACCATATAAAATATATATATAACAAATTATAACTTATAACTTGTAACAAAATATACTATATAACATATAGCACCAGCTCTGACTGTCGCGTCTAGGATCCACTTCAAGTTCCGCCACGATCTTCCAAGCTTCGATCTTTGAAACGGCAAACTCGTCCAGCAAGTCCAGCTGGACTTCCACAGCTTCCGGACGCGGACATCCACAACCTAAATGCGGGGCACCTTAGATGGTGAGGACCTGGAAAGACATTTCACAGCCATTCCGAACCAAAAAAGCTGGACAAATCCCCCGCAAACCAAGGGGGTCTTGGATGGAGGAACATCCAAAAGCAGCCTAAAAGCGCTTAAAGGAAGATGAAACTTAAGGATACTTAAGGCACCTGACTTGCATAAGGAGATGTTCTATATACTTGTTCCATCTTTTTCCCGGGAGCGTTGGCCAAAGAGGGTGACCTCCAACTCGCTGCCAAGTGGCGGGACAGTCACTGGACACCGCTTCGTCGGACGTCTCGGTTCGCCCCAGGTACCGTTCTGTTGGACGTGTCCATTTCTGAAGGGATGTTTGGGACGCTTTGCGGGTTATGTTGGCACCTACATAAGTTGTTAGGTGCCCTTTCCGAGATCAAGTTCCACCTGTGCACAACTCTTGAAGCTCAAGTAGCGCCAGCCACTGAAGGGGTTGCACTCCTTCTCTGTTTGGTCTTCGATATCGGTGGTGCTTTGACTGTGCACGGTGGTTCCGGTGAACGTCACAGGTGCCAAGGAGGTGGTCTTTGTGGTCTTCGTGGACGTGAAGCTCGTCCTGGTCTCTGTGGCTGAAGTCGTCGTGGTGGATGAGACGAAGGTGGTCGTAGCTGACGAAGTGGTCATGATGGTGGTGTTCACTCCACATCTTCCTTGGCTGGGCGAGTGCCTGTTTCTGTTCAACTTTGCCTGTGGCTCTTCAGCTTGGTCGTATGCTTGGCCCATATATTGGGCCACATGTCCCAGTAGCAAATCCATGTTGAAATTGGAAGTGGGAATCAAACAGAATATCATGCAAACTAGGCAAGAACTCATTACCCCAACGTTCGAATTCCCCAATTTCGGGTTTTTCTTTCACCCTTTGCGAGGTATATTAGCCAGCCAGCCAGCATAGTTGTGGAGTACTATATAACGAGGTTGTGTCCAAAACAACCACCCGGAAGACCAATCTGCTGCTAAGCAGGGGCCAACCAATTCCCTTTTGCCCGGTTGATGCCAGTAGCCTGGATCATGTCACATGGTCACAGCCACACTGCTGGCTCTGGCAACTACACTCCCTCTTTGGCGCCTCAAAGGGGTTGGGTTGACCCTCCATCCCAGTCGACCAAACAACCATATATAACTATAACTAAATACACACAAGGACACCAGCAGCACCCAAAGGGTGGCTTAACAAAAACCCTCTCCTTATGGAACCACCCGAAAGCTTCGGTGGCGCCGATTCAGAAGGCTCGAGAAAACATGGAAAAAACTCGAGACAACGAGTGAACCTGTGAATCCACCCACTGGTTTCGTCCGCCCGTCGCCGTCATGTTGAGCCTCGATCCGGCCACTCCGACAGCTTGACCACACAGCCCGTCCAGTAGTCACAATTGATCCAGGTCTCACCGAGCGACAAGGGCACCTGCAAACTTAACGGCCATCCGGTGGGCTGCGAGATGGCAACATCTTCACACGCCTGACATCTTCCTACCGAACACCTTGGTGTGCTGCATCTTCCTCATCCTTTCATGATCTTTCATGACTCGTCATGACCTATCCCAACCTCCATGACCTCAGGCTCGTTGCTCTTGGGCCCATTGACATAACTGTCTGCGCCGTGCCAGCGCTCCAGGCGTAAATCCAAGAGCGGTTTCACCTGCGCATTGGAGACACGAGAGGTCCTTGGGAGCTGCCATATCTCTTACGGTATCTTTATAGACAACCTTTCTCTATATAGAATATAGTAGAAACACACACATATACATATATATATACAGTACATATACTGTATATCTATCTATTTATCTATATTTAAATAAGGTTGCCTATATCCATGATACCGTACATAAACGTTCTCCGTAGTACATAGTTGCAGTTGCTGGAACCGTTCGAACATGTTGAATGTTCAAAGTCCAGGCGCTGGATGATCTGGATGCTTGTGATCCTGCTGTTCATGCCGCCAATGGCCATGTCCAATCCATTGGATCCCTTCTTTGAAACATTCCAGCAGCTGCAACCCAAGCCCGGCCCCTCTGATGTCCAAGGCCAAACGCCTCTCAGCAAAGGGAGTAGGGTAATTAATGTAAGAGAGGTATGAATCATATGATGCAATCAACATAGTTGTCACTTGGAAGATTTTGGAGGATCTCCAAAACGATTGTCAGATCTGTCCAAAGACCAAGGCAAGATTGGATTGCAAAGTATACGTGCACCACAAACATATTTGATGCACAGTATGATCAGTATGGTGAGTTTGGTGACTGGGTGCTGGCGAAGCTTTGGCGACCCTGGTGCTTTGAGCCAAGTTTGGCAAGCCTTGACACAGCTTCTATAAACGACCACAAGGAGCAGTATTGTGTTGTCTAAGAAAGGTGTTCACTTGCCAACTCACAAGCAAACTAATCTTCAGCAAATGAACTGCTTTGAATTGCCGCGCAAAACCTGGCCAGAACCCAGCCAACCTCAAAGACCTTGCCGACAACTACCCTTCAATAAAATCTCCCAACAATCATGGACCCGGCCCAAACCTCCATGACACCCTTTAATCAAAAGTTCGAGTATGTGTTGCAGTTGCTCCACACTTCCCAAGTCATTTCTGGCTTCGTGCGCGCGGGCCGCGCACGCTTCGCGCCCTTCCAGGTGCCTGAGGTCTCAAGCTCTTCATCGATGTCTATGACTTTCACCAAATCCACGCCCCAAATCGATTCGCACTCATCGCTGCCCACCTCGGATCTGACCCATGTTGGCGCACGTTTTCACGATCGCGTGTACAAATGCGAGTCAAAAGCGAGTCGGATCGGGGTTCCTTCGCTGGGCCACTCAGGGTTGCTTCAGAGAGATCTTGGTGCCACTTGAAGACCAAACCAATGAGAGGAGCATTTAGTACCAGTTGATTATCTGTGAATGGGGCTCACCTGCCGGGCCCAGTTTCCACGTCTCTTTGGTGCATCTTCCGTGTCCAATTCTCCAGGCTGCAGGATTCGCTGCTGAGAGCCGCAACCAGGTGACACCCAGCTGGTAGGCGCCGCTGGGGAAATCGTTCACAGGCACCGTGATCCAATTCGGATCCTGCTCGGAGCAAGTCATCCGAGCGCCCGGCGGGGAGAGCGAGCGCGCGTGACGCGAGGGTTGAAACCGAGACAAGAAGTCTACAAAAGTGGGACTTGGGATGGAAAAGGAATGGAAAAAGACCTGACTGTGAAAAACAACACCTTCTCGCTTCCATGTTGCTTAAGTACATGAAAATACGGGAACAAAAAGATTTTCTTGACAATGTTTGTTTAACCTGCTTGATCAGGGTCAATGCTTGCGTTGGTGCTACATGTCTTGTGCGGGAGGATCTGCCGCACTTGAAATGAACTCTCAGACACACACTCACACCACACACCTGTAAAGGTTGTTTTGAACACATGTCTTTGTCCAAGCTTCTGTTGTGGTGCTGCTAGGGGTGGTTGTCGCGGTTGGAGCAAGACCCTCCGCACAGCCACTGGAAGAGTAATAGATATACTCAGTGGCCTGTGACATCACAAATGCTAACTGCGACTGTGCGAACAAGTACTGGCTATAGCCACATTGCAAGCGCAAAACATCGCCCAAAACCCCAGTGGACGAAACTTCAAATCTGTGAATCTGGGCAGAGCTGGACACGTGGAGCATCACACTCGCACAGGGAAAAAGAGAGATATCTCCTTCAGATTTCTCATGTGCAACTTCGTCTCCGTTGCTTGCATAGAAGCGGATTTGCATGTAGTCTTTAAACTCATAGTAAAAGCCATCACAGTCGGAAGCAGAGGAGAGGCGATAATGGGAATATCCCAAGAAAGGATTGCAAGCGCGGCACACGCAAGTGATCCCCACGAGCCACCATCTTAGCAGCATTATCCGCCCAATTGAGCTGAATCACTACGGCGTGACTTGGCGCATCCACTTAGCTTCTGGTGAATGTCTGAAGATTACAGTTGAGATACACTCCCCGAAACAAGGCCCCGGGAAGTGGAGCGTGGCCCCTTGGAAGACTGCTTTCCTCTACAAAGTGGTCCTGGTCAGCTTCCATGTTTGTTGGAGGGAGGGTAAGAGATACGGAGACACTCTTTCTACCAAACACCGATTGAGACGGGGGATTCACGGCTCCCAGCTAGTGCACGAAGCACTTGCAGAAATTCCTTTTGGCACCCATCAACCATCATCAACCTTGACTGCGATCAGAGTTTGGTCTGGTGGTCCTTAACCAAGGTTGTTACGCCCTGGCACCTTCATCTGTTCTGGCCGGAACGGCCGGAATCGATCGAAATCGATTCAGAGAAGATGGGTTTTGCTCAACCAACGTTCTGTCAAGTGGCCTCTTCACCGAGTACTTCACTCCGTCAAAGCCTGGGGCGAAAAACAACACATCGGCCTGAGAGTAAAAAGGCTCTCGCCATGCCAGTGGTTTGCCAAAGGATCCATGGGTAGCATACAAAAATCTTCAATGGATGGATGCTAGTATATGCCATGGATTTTGGATGATTCAATCTCGACATGAAAGCTGGAAGCTCGTCTTATCCAGCAACATTCAACAAATTAATCCTCCCAAATATGGACCCACAAACCCACAGGGGCGAAACCAAGCACGTCACTAGCAAGGCATATGGTCCGTAGCTTGGTTGTCTAATCCCAGCCCAGCTGCCTCGAAGACCTTCACCGAGCGGCTCAGCAGTTGCGAGTCGGAAGACAATGTTTGGATCTCTGCGACTCACTTGGCCTGTCATGTTTTTCGTCTTCCAGGCCTGTATGCCTGTCCAACCATCCCCTAGCCCAGGTGTCCCCAACCAACCCAGTTTTGAATAAATATCCAAGCTCATTTCACACGACCCGATCCTCCACTTCTCGTTCTTCAGCTCTGAGAACCCCGGCGCTGCCTCAAAGAGCTATTCCGAAAGTTGAACTGCATTAAGACCTGAGGAAAGAGGTCCATTCAGGCAAAATGTATAACATGTATAATTGCAACATTTGTTTAGTGGGATCTAACTCTGTTACAACCTGCAATGCCAATGTGCAAACCATTGCACTCCATTGCAATGCGCGTATGGCACAACCCCGGGCGCACCAAGGAGCTCATTCCCTAAGCTTCATCCACCATATCTCAGCAACCTCAGCATCTGTCATTGATGGTTCACGTATAATATATGTCAAGTTTAGGACCGGTTGGGTTGTTCCCCCAATACCCAAGGTCAATACAGGGTGTCAGGCTTTGTCAGTAGCATGACAAGACCTTCGACTTAAGCAGCAAAAAGAACGTGGAAAAGACATCCGGAACCTGCCCAGGTTCCTACCTAGGCAACCTGTCCAGTCCTCCCTGGTCCAACGTTCCCTTTTTTTACGGGGCCTCTTCAAGGCTCTGCCCCAGCTGCAGGCAGATCTGCACGGATCGCAAGTCCAAGTCCTTCGAGGTCAAAGACGGAGTCAGCAAAGGCCTTTGAGGTACCATGAACATGCATCTGCTTTCCTCTCCATTCTGCGATTGAAAGCCATAATTATTTCCCTTATCTTCCCTTTAGGAGAACAGCCACACGACACGTGCAGCGAAGCGACCACTGACTGCAGGCAACCGCAGGCATATCAAAATAGCTATATATTCGAAGACAATCTGTTGAAGATCCATATCTGAATCAGCCTGAATCTCATTTTGGAACTAGGTTCTCCTGTTTCATGAGTCAGGGTCTTGGGGTTCCACGATAGTACACCTCAATGACCCGGTCCCGCAGGAAAACGAGCTGGCTTCACGTGACATGTTCCGGCTGGCCTGGCCACGATTCACCGCGTACCTGTCCGGCTTGAAGTGGCTGAGCTGGAGCTTCTCTGTGCAACCGAGCTGGAGAAAAGCAGAAGCCTTGCATACTAAGCTATGCTGCAATAACATATGCTGCTGTTGAGGCAATGAATCGATTATAATCTATTGATGCACCACCCTGCACCTATCTGTCTTTCATGGCCTCACTGCCCTGATTCGCAATACCTCCTTGCCAGATTCTTTCAAGGCAGCGAAAGCTCTCTCCCTGTCCTTTCCGGCTTCTCCATCACCTGCCATTTCCCGGAGCTCACAAAACTCTCGCCTCTCCATTTCCCGCAAAGCACCGATCAAACCCATCAAGTAGCACCTCATTTCGGCTGGACATCCGCAAACATCCTCCTCCGAGGACCACCCATTGGACCGTCGATGGTGGTTTCGGTCGTTGGGGTCGTTGAAGAGGTATACAGTGGAGAAGCCAATGCCAGCGGATGCCGGGGTGCACACACTTCTTCTTCTCTGCCCGTGAAGAATGTGAGTGTACCAAACCATGCGGAAACATCATGAACAATCATCATCATCATATAAACAAATGCGACCTCTGCCGAGGCAAGCTTTCAAATGCTTATTTGGAGCAATCATGAGCCACCAACGCATCAGCTTCTGGTCAACAAGCTCACTGGTGATATATGCTTGATATTGTTTGATGTGTTTGTTCAATACTGCACTACCCTGAAATCATAGCTATCTCATGCAATCTCCGTGGATGATTACAAAGAAATTAAGCATAGCAGCCCAGACATGTGGTATGAACATCTATCGCCGGGGAGGTCCTGGACCACCCGTCACGTTTCTTCCCCTGGTCACTTGAGGAGTGTCCATCTGTCTTTCAGGCACCGGGCTCATTATCAAACTCCGGGATCTCAATGCGCCACCTCTTTGGCACCTCTACTGAGGCACGCAGAAGTCGGAACTCGATTTGAAGAAGCACTCCGTGTTGATCGGTAGACACTTGCAGCAAGCAGCTGTTCTTATTTTGGTGTTTGCAGCCTGCAGTTGGAGTAGCTCATGTGGAATCATCTTGCAGCCACTCCTGCATTCCTTCCTGGAACTTGTGACTTCGCATAAGCCAGTCAATACACGGAAAGACTGGGCACCTCCGGTAGAAGTTGACCCGTTTCCAGAAACTTCTGGAAGGCCAACGTTTGGATGTAGACCTGAGTGGCCAAAGCCAAGATGGTCGCGAATGTCCAGCCCACATGATTCATTCTAAATGAGATGAGTTTTCACATTTTACTGAAGTGACATGATTCCTCATTGCCAGAGAGTCCATCACATGCAACATGACAAATCTTCAGGTGTCCGATTTCGACCCGTCTTCGGAAAACCTTCAATCATGTAGACGGTATATAGTCATATCTTTAATTCTCTTTATATGTCCTTCCAACCTAATGGCGATGGCCTCTCCAACCTACGTTTTTGACCCCGCCTCCAGGAACCCCGAGACATTGCAGGACTCGCAGAAGCGAAGGCGACTCTCCGGCAAGGACCACAAGTCTGGGCAGGACCACTCGACCGCCCGTGACCCGCGGGGTGTGAATCCATGGGCATCGATGGGCGTCGAGCTCCCATGAAATCCAATAAAAGACCTTCTCAGAAGGTAGCTACAACTGAGCCTGGGAGCCTCATGGAGCCTCTCAAGATCCACCTCAGCCAGCTTCGCAGAACCATATTTATCGCAAGGACTAGTGGTCGATTGAGAACCAGTACTCAGAGTCAAGGAATGATTGGCTCAGACTCTATATGGACCACTTATCCCTTACCTCTACCAGGTACTACCTGTAGCGCACACTTCCAAACATCTGGAGAGTTTCACGTTGATCCCCAAGGTCTGTCCAGGTCTGTCCTGTCTAACCTGGCCCGCTTCCAAACAGAAGCTAGGATCTGGTCCGCTTGCAACAGATCTCCCTACAAACTCACTAGAATAACGGTGCAACGGGTACGTGCCACCTTGTCGTCGCTGGGCGGGGCTATATTCTTGCCCTCACCCAATGAGTTCATGTCACCTTTTGCTGGAGGGAACATTCTCAATTATATAACCATTGATTGAAGACAAAGGACAAAGGCTTGCCATATCCGGCGCGGTGAACAAGGCTTACACATCCGGGAAAGAGCGAGCACAACATGCAGGTGGGATCTGTCATCCCAAGAACGCAAGAAACGTGCCTTGTGAGATTGTTGCTTTTTCGAGGCGAAATGCAATTTTCACGTTCGCCTTTATCTCTCCAGACGACCGTGTCACTCTCCATCCTCATGAAGCACGAGGTGTTCAGCATGGAAAGGAGACATCCACAAAAAGGTAGCAGCTAGTCAGTCCAGTGATCCTTCGGGTGCAGGGAAAAGCATCAGGCAGCATCCCGATAGTGAGTTCACAATCTGTCTATTCTCCGAGTCATTCACATGGAAGTGGAAAACCACTTGTTTGTAGAGGAGCATGGTCATCTGAGGGATCATGTTCCACTTCCATGATTATTCAGGGAGTGAATATCCCACTGCTACCGGAAAATGCTGAAGCCACTATCCCTTGACAGGCTTGAGCTGCAAAATGCAAGATCCATTGAGGCACAGGGAAAAGCCTCAAAATGCCTCATGGCTGTAGAAATCAGAACTGACATCCGCTTGAGGCGCCGGGAAAAGCCTCAAACACGTAGAAACCAGCACTGAAATTCACCTTGAGGTGCTGGGAAAAGCCTCAAAGCGCAGTAGAACTACTAAAGAATACTGGAGAAGAAAAGGACTGTACTTTCCAGCCGTAAGGTTCTTAGACGCTCAAAGAATACAGGACGTCACACACATCACAGCCCTGACCATCACACCTGCAGAAAGCCCTTTCTCGCAAAGTGCGTATGAAGGCCGCGTGTGAACCTTCTCGGTTGAGAATCTCAGCAATTCCTGGTTGATGGTTCAAACCGTGCCCAAAGAACAATAGATGGGGATCTATCTGTATAAGTCCCCTGGGGGTTGAAGAAAAAAACATTCCAAACCACCACCCAAATTCCTTCGGCGGTCTTGCCATCAACACGCCGAGTGGGATCTGCACCTGCGTCCAAGAGCATTCTCAAGATATGCGCATTGCCAAGTGCTGCCGCCACATGAATGGGATACATCTCTGGCCCTTTCACGTACGAGGGCCGTGGGCGATCCGCATGGAGGAATTTGTGTTTGGCCAAGAAGTCTCGCAAGTGCTTTGCTGGCCGCTCCTCAATGCACAACACGCGGAAAAATCCCCCACTCCTTCAACCCATCCAGAAATGCGGGGGCCCTGCAGTCCCATCATGCGCAAACAAACCCACCATTGCGTTTTCAGTGTCATGGGGGTGGCCAAACTTTGAAAGTGAAGGAATGGTGTGGCGGGAGAATGTCTGGTGTGTGTGTGCGATTTTGTTCTCAGAGTTGGACGGATATGCCACAAGAAGTTTCCTATTCGTCACGCAGCAGTAATCATGACCGGTTGGATCACAGAGCAGGTTTTCATCTGGGCACTCATCTGATAAAACACCTTCAGGCCTACTGCATATGGATCTTCACCTCTCTCTTGACCAAGAACCTCGCAAAAAGAAACTCCGGCCCCATTACATAGAGGAACAGGTCACATCAGGGATGGACTCCAGTATCCAGTTTAAAAGTTCCATGGCAGGGGAAACAAACTATAACATGTAAGAAACAAGTCTCAAGAAATCTCAAGAACTTGCTTTTTTGCTGACCAATTTCATGTCCCAAAGCTGTCAAGTACGTGTCGTTTAAAACACCGCAGCCTCTGGTTGCCGCCAGCTCGGTCCCTGGTTCCGCGTGCGCTCGTCTCGAACTGAAGGAACGTCCCAAAAGACAGCAACAAATGATCCAGCCCTCTTCAGGATGCCCACACCTTCTGGAAAGGTAAGGGCAAACCGGCACCAGGCATCCCAACCATCCCCAATCATCGAAAGCAAGCTGAACCTCAATGGGACTACCACTGGGACTACCCTATCGCTATATACTTAATAAGATCCCCATTGGAGACCCATGACATGCTTCGTCCAGGTGGATCTCGCCATCGGTCCGAGTCACGTTCTTGCTGAGGGCCACGCGTTCCACCGTGGCGCTGTCCAGGTCCACCACTTCCATGACATGCGCGAAGGACACGCGGCTGCCACCGACACAAGTGCCACGGGATCCGCACATGGCTGTCTGGTCTCTTCGAAGCCACGGGTTCGGAACAGTCATGGACAATCGGAAGTCTGCAGGTCCGGAATCTTTTGCATTTGGAGCAAGTGAAAGCCGTAGTGAGTAACCTGTGCGATGTCGTTCTACTGTTTGCAGTCTTTCCAAATTTGAGCCAACGTCGTCGGAGCCGCGCATCATTCATATGAATTTGGTGCGCATCGTTTTCGACATCATATACAACTTTGAATCGTGCCACGCGTCCCAGGTGCATGTCCCCCATTTCCCCTAGTGACATCATATCTTGGCAAGTTCACATATGCAAACAGTGTGCGGCTCCTGCAGCACCACCATTGTCAACCACTTGTCACCTAATACATTTTGGCAACGACATCCTTTTTACATTCATGTCACCAACTTCTAGGCCATTCCATATCGTCGCGTCCATAGCCACGTTCCGCGCCTGAGACCGAGCAAAGGCTCGGCAGCTTCTCAATCTCCGCCAGTGCCGCTTGGGCACCCGCCAAGTCACCACCTTTCAGCATGTTCCAGTTTGTTTCAGATGTTTCAGGGCGCTCCTATGCACCCCCCATTCCAAATCTAGAGGCAGTTTTCCAACGGTGCTGGCCACGCTTTGTCCATGATTTTCGGAGCTTTTCACCAACCCTTGACCACGACCATGACCGTCTGAGCTGCCCCGGCGCTGGAGCCGCGCTGCTGCGATGTAGGCCCAGCGCCGGCCGGAGCTCACCACCTGCGGTGTTTGGTACCAGGGTGTCTCCACCAATCTTTTGTGGAAGCCCTGCAGGTCGAGGATGGGTTCAGTGGGGATGATATCGCTTCAGGGAACCCAGCTGCCCCGGCAGTCAAGAAGGCTACTTGCCCATCGGAGCCGAGCAGCGCTAAGAAAAAAGAAAGCATCCTAAGCATATATGATCAAATCTCGAATCACCTTTGAACCACTAGTGCGTTAGTGTTGGACAGTAGTCCAAAAGCTTGCCAGTCCTCACCCCTGTAACTTTGCCTCTTTTCTATCTAGAGGTTTGAGGATGCAGCTCTTTCTTTTGGCACTGCGTACTGTCTCACACATGATGGTCACATTCACAAGCTTTAAAACGGTCGAGCCATGAATCCATGAACACCTGTGGAAACCTCAAGGGCCATTCCCAAAAACCACGCTACGGCGGAAGGAGGAACGTTATATATACATACATACACACACAAAACCTACCCATACAAGCCCATACATATATTCTAATATACATACACATAATATATGCATGATTATGCCGCATATTATACAGTATATAAGCATACACATTATGAGCATAGCTATGCTTCCATGAGGACTGACTGGAGGGGTGCCGGCTGCACAACGGGGGGAAGCTCAATCCTCACATCCTCCAACTTTCAAAGGATTCCTTTCGGAGAGGGCCATAATTGGAACTTCTACAGCCATCTACAGCCTGCGCTTTGCTCCTACATCCAATGGACTCATGACACGCATGGAATGTCTCCTTGCCACGGGGTCGTCTTCAGCTTTCCCTACTGCAAAAGGACCCTCTTGGACCCTCCCACCTCCTGCAGTCCTGCCCGTGCATCTTGCACCTGAAGCACTCGGCTCCCGCGCCCGTCACCACGTCATGCGCCCGTCACCGTCTTTCTGAACCAGGTCCGCCCCATCCACCCGCCCCGATCGCCATTCTCCGGTGCACGTCGAGACCACCGAGACCGGTTTTGCCGGGGATGGACCAAGGCTGTGCCCCCCATGCTCAGCCGCCCGCCCCAAGGGCTCCCAAAGAAAGGCCTATATAATCTTCACGTCACAGTATTAATTAGATCTAAAATACATGTCTCATCATATTCCTATACAAAGACCAACTGGATAAATCCCAGCGACCTTGCGACCTTGGATCGGACTGGAGTTTATCTGTTGGATCCAAGGTAATGGTTCAGTTAGGGCCCAGCCGCCCTATACGGGACTTTGGTTTAGGCACATGTTGCACAGGGCACTTTGGCATACACAGGGCACTGCTTCACATCGCGGAAAATAGCACCTCGCCCGCTCCGCATACTATTTGTCATCTGCTCGTATCTCCTTTGGCTCGCATCTCTGCTTGAAGTACACCTTTGGTGTGCATCAATCGCACGGTTGCACCTGTTGCTCTCTGCCAGGTGGTCAACGTGGTTCTAAGCAGAGGAGCAAAGATCTGCTAGTTATTTCACCCTTAGGTTGGCTCCACATCTTCAAAAGTGCCTCATAACCTACTGGCCCACGTTCCTAACCTACTGGCCCATGCGTTGAAAGCAAACACAATCGCCAACCCAGTTTTTGATGGCGGTGTTCTACACCTTCAAATCTTGAAAGTCCATCATAGGACTACGCGGCAATCAGGAATGCATGACAGAACATGTTTGCCAGCTTCGCTCGACTCTTCCATATTCTTTCCTTTCCTTGCAAACGCGCTTGTCACTATCGTCTGCAGCCTCAACAGCACAGACTACACACATTGGGTCTTTCAGAAAGACCACATCCTATCTCTAAGGTTTCACGTCCTTCGTGAATCCGTGGTGCAAAGGATGCCTCCGGCAGCCCGTTGTGCAAAAAGAAGGGCCAAAACAGCCCTCAACCTTAGTGTGTCACGGTCTTTTCTTCCAGTGCAACCTGCATATGATCTTCTCAAAAATCAACAACGGGCCCTGAAGATGGTGAAAATGAAAGTCTCGATGTTAGGAATGATACCCTGCATGCACCACATTCTGCACAAAACCAGCGGCTAAGGACCAACAAACATCTTTAAGGACCAATGGCGTGCCCGAAACCTCAAAGGTCAAAGAGGTTCTCTCCAATGCTTTTGGGCTGGTGACCGGGGCATTGCTGCCATGCAGCAATAGACTCCTCACAACACTGCCGGTAAACCATGCAGGGGATGGTTGTTTGGCAACAGTGGTGTTGCACAGTTGACCGTTTACGCCGGGAACTGTTGTGTGCAAAAACCACCAAAAATTTGGTGTGGTCGGCGTCATCCTTCAACTGAGGTGGCCATGGAGGGTCTATCCATAATTATCCATGATATCCACGCCGTCGTTGAGATCAATCAAGATGCTCATCGTACGCGCCGCATCAACACCTGACCACAAAGAAAATGCTCATGTTTGACAACGATAGCTGGGCCCCCAAATCCCACAGATCCTGGTGAAAGCATGTGAAGGCGAACACGCTCGCTTTGTGACACGAAGCCAATGAAGCCCCCAAAACGGCCTTTCTCCACATGTCTCAATTCAACCAATTAGTTTGGTGCCGCGATGGATCATCTCTAAGACTACATGTCAGCATAGGCATAAACCCACTGCCGTGGGTCGTTTCAACCTGACAGCTTTTCCATCCGCCTCGTGCCGTCAATGGAAGACTTCGAGTTCCCTCCTGCGCTAAAGCCAAAAGCCTAACGGCCTAACGGGATGGGTGTGCCATGGGACCATGGACATGCGTCCCCACCACACTAGGTTCCTATATAAAGCCACAAGTAGTAGGTGAAGTCAATGTGTTTGAGGCATGTGGACAAATGCTACGAGAAATCAAGTATTGGACAAATCAAGGAAACTGTTGACTGGAGGCCTCCATGCTAGTTTACCAAAGGGTGCCACATGGTGCGCCTGCCAGAATTAAACAGTTTGTGCATGTTTGTGCACATTTCTTATATTTTCTTATACTATTTGTGCAACTCATGTGCAAAAAAGGCGCAGGATCGCCATTTCGGAACGCTCTTAGCAATCACTCCCCCACAGCCCATTTCACTGTCAGTCCTCATTGCTTGAATCCTTACTCCTCCTGCTGCTGGGCAGCACGTGGTTGATCTTTGTTGGGTCTCCATGGGCCCCTCAATATTCACCAAGCTCCCAAAACCGCCTCCAGAAACCCTGATTCTTGGCAGGAACATGGAAGAGATTCCTCCTCATCACGGGATTTCAATGTGTCTTGGGTATGCTTCCTGATGAAGAAATTCAGTTGAAGTCGATAGCATGGAGATATCCACATGCCACTGTGATGGATGCTGATGGATGCACTGATGTACACGTATTCGAAAGGAGTACCAAATCAATGTTGTGAGTGTCACTGGACAGGTGTGGAGTGAGAGACCTGGCAGTATCTCACATTGCCCCTTGACTTGTGATGTTTCTTGTTTCGGTTAATTGCTAGCGTGCAGCAAGATATCATGCCCAAAGGTTTGAACCTCAAATTGGTCTTGTATGAAAAGTGGCAAGTTTGACACCCCCCCCCCAATAGTATAGTATAGTGTGGGATTTGGGAATCTGGGACTTCATCTCAAATCAAACCGACACATCCAAAACTCTGCTCCTGCTCCCAGAGCGAGGAGTCTTTGAAGCGATGCTCCTCAGCAATCTGACACAAAATACCGTGTCAGGGCTAGACAAACTATCTGATCTAATCATCCTCCCCAAAAAGCTTAGACGGTCAAATATGTCCCAAACATGGATTTCATGGGATCTCCTTTTCTACTTTGCGATTTGTAGGATTTGTGCGTGGCGCGGCTCGACCCCAACTGTCCCAATGATCCGGCTCGTCCCATCAGCGCCGGTCACAAACGCACCCGGTCACCATCACTCGAGGTCACCCGTCGGACGGTGCTCTGTTCCACGGAGTCGACCGGTGAAACATGCCGAGGACTGCGACGGACTGCCCGGTGCCGCGTTTCGGCCGGTGCCGTTTGGGGGCCAGAGGGCTTTCGAAACGGGCAGTCCGTCCTGGCATCCTTTTGAACATCACCGGTCGATTGATGCTTTTGGGACACCGCGACCGTTCATCGACGACACGGCGGCTGTAAGCGAGGAAAAGGTCCTAAGGTAACAGTTACCGGTAGCAATATTCCTTGACAGGTAAGTAAAAATCCCCGCTTAGTCAATATAGTTCATTCTATTATTTCTTTGTCTCTTATCAGTTCTCTTATCTGTATAGTATTTTATTTGTATCTTCTATTTGTATGTCTTTTCTTTTCATTCTTTGTATTTCTTTCTGTCGTTCTATCTTATAAATCAATGATGGCCACATTTTATTCACATATTTTGGCCAGGCGATTGGCTAGTCAATATATTAAAGGGTATGCTACCCACATCCCTCTCAAAGGAAAAGCAACCTGTTCTGCTACAATCTGCTACATGCAGGCATTAAATATCGCCTATAATTATTGAAGGATTGAGGTAATGAATGTGGGCCATGAGTACCTGCGTTGAGCATTGTGGTCTTCTCATGTTTGGACTCCACCATCCCTTCGTGGCAGCTTGCCCTCCACACCACCGTTCAGCGATGCTACGGCAGCTGGATGCTGCCACCCCGTGGGGACGCCTGCGGTGAGCCTGAGAATGCGCGGCAGCCAAGATGTGTGCGTGCGGCCAGGGTGTGTGTGTGTGTGTGGGTTGGTGGGGTCATCACTTCCACTGTGCCGTGTATTTTAGTATTGTGACATTGTGTCAGCCCATCCATTGATACAGGGATAGAATTGAAGTTAAACTACAGTATATTAAAGTATTGATATACGTTTCGTATTATTTGGAAAGGTTATATACCCTTGTCTAGAGGTGAGTGCGTAAGACATACGACTGGCCAAACACTCATTTCGGATGCACGGAGAAACTGTCGCAGCAGGGGTTCTACCCAGCAGCTTGTGAAGGGAATGGCTCCAACCTCTGAGGGATGAGAAGAACATGGGGCTGCAAACCAAACCAACCACCCCCAGACCCAAAGGTATCCCCAAACCAAGCCCCAAAACCCAACACGGGATCCCCAAACCAAACCAAAAGGGATGAGGGATGGAGATGGTGGTCGCTCGTACAGTCCCCAACATCGATTTATGAGCTTCAACGTGGTTGGCGGTTGGGTATACCCACGCCGATCGGTTTAAACTGATCGTGGGCTGCGAAAAAAAGAGAATGCTTATAGCAGGAGTAGGGTTTGAGCTTATACCAAACATCTCAAATCCTACTCCTGCTTTTGTGAAAACAATTCGTCGAAATCAACCCACAAACATCGACAAACCGCAGTCGCGGAAACGCCTCAAACATCAACATCGAACCCAACCAACGTCCAACAGCAACTGAGTTTGCTCTTGCCACATGCTGCTGCTCTAGTAGTACATTACATGACGCACAACTCGACCACTTTAGACTTAGGTGGCGAACATCAAAAAACAATATCAGCGTGTAATGACAACAATAGGGAGGCCTCCCAAAAACCCTTCTTGGAAGAAGGGGCATAAACCAAAACCCATTGGTGGGAGACCTCCCTATTAAAATGCACGCCATTACACACGCATATCTGTTTGTTTACAGGCCACCCCTTTGGAATCTTTGGATTTGTAGCGTCTAGTCTACTGACATCACTCGACTAATCTGTTTGGCGGCCTCCTTTCACCATGACAGCATCAGCACTTTCGATGCCATCCATCCTGTCGCAAATGGAAGAAGCCATCCGGGACGAAAAACACGCACAAACGGACAATTTGTTGCTACCGGTGTGCTATAGTTTCCGGGCCTTGTGCTTCACGGCCCCTTGTACAAGCCAGTGTCACCAGCTCTTCAAATCTCGTTATATGGTTGAATATGTTCCTCGTAGGGCCTCTTATGATGCAACTCCTCTTCTAGGTTCTAGGGGAGAGTTGATTTGAACACATGGATTAGATGTAATTAGATCTAATTTGTTACTCCGCCTGCGACCCACTCGAGTTATGTCAGTTATGTCTCGAAACCATGACTCTTCATTTCACCTCTTGAAAGCTGCATTCAAGATCATTCAAGCCATTTCAATCCTCTTCAGGGCTTCCCATCACTCCCCCAACAGCAGCATAAGTGGCTTCCTGTTTCATTTCACTCCCAAGAGGTCCAGCGACATGGTTCCTTCTCTCTGAAGTCCCTCCCTTGCGGATCGGAGTAGCCTCAATGGCATCTTGCGCCCCAACTTCAGAGTCTTACTCTCCTGGCTGCGAGCGTAGCTGGGGCGCGCGGGTCAGCCCCTCTGCTGTGCATCGACTTCTTCGGTCCCGTTTCAGCATGATACAGCTTGACTCGAAGCACCTGGTTTCGGCACCGGTTGACCGTCGCTCAGCACATCCGTGTTCTCCGTCCTCTCCGTTGGACGCATTGCGTCCTCCTTTGTAGGGCCACTGCAATTGCCTGGCCGACCGGTCCCTGGGACACTGATCCATGCTTCCCCCACATGTCACAAGGAAGGCAACGAGGGTCAGCATCTATTCCAAACAACGAAGGACCCATGATCCCGCAGGAGGTCCCGTGAAATATGACCCATGCAATGCAAGTAACTATTTCCATACATGGGTCTCAGCTTCAACACTCACCTTTGGGTTTCCAGTCTTCTTTTCTTCCGATGCCGCCGACACAGGAGGAACTTCAACCGCTGGCTTCGACACCCCCATGGTTCCCACCCCAAGAAGGGGCGGAGAAAAGCCCTTCTCTTCCGCGGGAAGAGAAGGGGAGGTCGACTCCCCAAGAGTGAAGATCCGACCCCTTTCCGCCAGAAATCCGTTCAGCCGGTGAACGGTTCGACGCGGATGGAGACCTGGAACGACCAGCCTGGTCACACGCGTGGCTGCTTGAATGGCATAGAGTGTTTGCAGCACCGGACGGTAGTCCATCGCCTGCGGTGCGAGGACCGGAGATGACGGTCATTACGTGCGGGCATTGCAGGGAAAGCACCTTGAAGAGTTGAATCCGTACTTTCCTGAACAAATCCCAGACTGAATGTGTAGGGGTGCACCTGACCTCTGTTTCAACTTCCTATCCCCTGAATGTTCATCCTCTCCCGGTTCGATGCGGAAAACTCTGCCTGACCCCCACTGGACGAGCTGATCATCTCCAATGTCCAAATGCCCTCGCCCCACTGGGTCTTCTCCACGGAGCGTGAGCAGCGGCATGCGATGAGCGCCGTGTCCTTCTCCACCTTTGGATCACCACCCGGCCAAAAGGATCTCAAAGGGCCCGGAAAGGTGGAGATCTGTGAAGGACGGAACTGCTGAGCAGTTTCCATAGTTATATGTTTTGATTTGTGTATCGTTGTATGGAACTGTTCCCATTCATTCGGTCCTGGGTGGACTCAGGGTGGATGGCGTGACTTCTTTTCTTCGCACACGAAGGTGTGTTCACACGTCATTTTACACCCTGGACCCTGACCCTGTCATTTTTGCACAGCAAAAATGTGAGCGGAAAAGGGAAGGGCTACGACAACAACAGTGATGGGGAAACAAACGGTCCATGAGTCAATGAGTCAATGTGAACGCTGTCACCAGGATATCCCTCTGTTCTTCTCTTCGCTTGGCCCTGTCGGCCAGCCGAGTCACTGATGGCGTCAGCTCGAAAACATCTGAGACATTGTGCCCCTCATGCCTCACGTCCTCATTCGGCAGGTGACCAGCTCGGACACTTGTCTCACCAACATGGAGATATTGTTGTCAACAACTAGCTCTCTATGAGCCTTCTGCAGAAACACATACGCGCACTCACTCACTCACCTCACCTCACCTCGCCTCACCTCACCTCACCTCACTCTCCCTCTCTCATCTCTTGTGCAACGCAATTTTGCCCGCCTTCACCTGCATGGTGATATCGCTGAAAGACGAGATCCTCAGAACATCTCAGAACACATTGCCAACAACAAGGCTCTAGCCTGCATCTAAGGCCTTGCAACCAAAAGGGCATATCCTTGCTGCAAGCAAGTCTTGTGCCGCTTGCAGTCGGAAAAGCTATATATATACAGTATATGACTTTCAATATTGAGCCTTCCCTGCTCTCTATGTGGGAACTTGAGTCGAGTCCAAAAGTAGTCCCCAACCTTCAAGCGCTTCAAAACACCGGCATTTGCAAGGGCTCAAATGATCACGCACTTAGATTTCAACATCAAAGCATATCAAAGCCCCGATGCATGGATTTGCATCATGTTGCATCTACATCCGTCATCAACAGCAGGCGGTTCCGTCAGGGCCCGGTTCGACGCCTTCGCTCCAAGGCTCGGCAGGGAAGGGCTGGAGAGGACCAAGAACACGTCGCTCACCCCCAGGGGCAACTCGTTGAACTGCACCTGTTCCGCAGCGATCCGCAGCGGACCTGTTCCTCCCTTTGGCGGTGCCCAGGGGGCGAGTTTCGCATGTCAAGGAATTGCGGGGCGTGGTAAGGAGATGGAGCCATCTGTTTTTTTTCAATGGTTGCAGTTTGGAGGGTTCATGGAGCAAGAACACAGAATTCCTTGGAGCAAGCCATCCGCCGCCAAACAGTAAGTGATTTTTGTGTACACGTTGGATCAACTGAGTCAACCGCAGCGGCACCATTCTCCAAAACAAGGCGATTGAAGTCTTGGATTGGGAAACAATACATGTTGCGCAAAGGATCATCTTTGGATGTTGGATTTGTTCGTCTCAAAGTATTAGAGGATGACCAGTGGATGGTCATATATACTGAAACACATAGTGACAGTGATGAGGCGACCGACCGACTTTGGCACTGAACAAACTACAATGCTGAAGAGGCCTCCATTGAAGTCTTCCCTTCCTCAGAAGCATCAGGACCCTGCAGGTCCCTAGTGAAACAAGAAATGATCCGCGTCAAAAAACAAGAGGAAAAGAGAGAGCGAGTCAAAGAGTCAAAGAAAGGTTGCAAGGCAGGTAGGGTAAGGTCTGAAATATATATATATATATATATATCATTGCTAAACCAAGTGCGAGAACTCTCATTTGATGACAGTGGACAGGAAGTCTCTGTTAGCACATTGGGCAGCCCTCAAGTGGAAAATGCCCTTCCCGTACCAAATGGAGATGCCGTGCTACTTAGGGCGGTGACCAAAGCCACACCAACAAACATGCAAAGCAAATAGGCACGGAAAACAAATCGACCACTGACCACCCACGCGTTTTTTCAATCATCAGAATGGGCCACATCTTTGCCGCGTGTGTGTCAGGTCGCTGAAGTAAACGTTGTAACGAGGTCGTTTACCCAAACTGGTGTTGTTTGTTCATGTCGTTTCGCCCCAGAAACGACGCCACGTTTGGGCCCGGAACCCGGGTCGATGGTCAAACCGACCGTGGCAGCACGGTCCCGCACGCGGTAACCGACCTGTAGGATTTCAGCACTTCACCGCTAAAGATACGCGAAGGATCGCTGGAACGAAGATTTGACGGGGTGTGGCACTACGGTCGTCCTCTTCAGATTCCATCGCGAAATCATTGAACAATGATGAACAAATCAATTGAGAGGCACTCGCAGGTCTAGACAGTCTGGCACAAAAAGCATAAAAAGCCATGCATACGGAGCAGTCAAACAATGCGTTGTAATTAATCTGCATGGAAAGACACGGCGCCCTTCAACAGCGATGGGATTCCCACAGGGTGCAAGGACGACCTCTTTCTGGAGCAACCTACATCACCTGTGACCATCTGTGACCAAATTCGAGTGGTCAACGGTGAACCCATCCCGCGATGTGAGCGTCTCCAGTTGTAGCGAGTTGCTCGAGCAGTGTAGTTCACATCACCTCCAGCATGCTGCACGGCGCCTCCAGTGGCATCGCCAATTGGGATCTGACCAACCTCAGTCCGGGGACACCCCGGTCACTCAAGACGTTGGTCATGTAAACCTCTAAGAACTCTCGCAAATGCCCGTCTCTGGTGCGGGAATGTTCCAAAAACGTACTTGAGTTCTTCATGATGAAATCACCAACTGAGGCAGTACAAATCTGTTGGAATCGGTGCCTACCTATTCTGATAGGACTACACTGTTCACAACCGAAGCCTATGCAATTTCCGCTTATTCGGCCAACTGTTCCTTGCTCATCCTCAGGCCAGGGCCCAATAGCCTCTATAGTCCAACCTCATTCATGCACGTCCGTATACGCCCGCGCCAGTCGAACGGGTTGGCACCCATTCTGCCAAGTCTGTGTTTCCGGAAGTCTGAGGTTTCACCATGGTTCATCAGGAGTTGGGGAAAACGATTCCAACAGTGAACACTGACCCTAAACCGATCTAAACCCTAAACTCTCCATGCATCAACTGCAACATGGACGAGTTCGACACATCCGGCTGGCCCAATTTGTCTGGATTCTGGACCCCACATTGTAGAACCCAATGACCACCAAAACATACCAAGATCACACAGGACAAAAAGAAAAATGCAAAGGCCTTTGTTGCAAAGGCCTTTGGTTGACGTAGATATACGTAGATCAAGCCCAATCGCTATGTCGTGCAAACACACGAACCTACACAACATGTTTCAAACTTAAAACACATAGACCATTTGTAATATTAATATCCATTTATCCAACAACATCCAGAAGAAAAACCTGCCCATGGCATATGGCAACAATCCAAGCCTGTACACTGTAGACTCCTGACTCATAACTTATCCACCGTCCCATGTCACTCATCCACCCAGGTCCCGCCGAGTGGCACGCCGTTCATGACCCATCGCACGCCGTGCGCCCCGCGATAGTCCACCAGCTCCCGGAGGGCCTGGCCCTCGAAGATCACCTCGGTGTAAAAAACAATAATATTGGAACCACTTATAACATATTTACTATGTATGACATATGATGAATATGAGTGCCAATGTTAGCGTGTAACAATCAGAACCCAGATGAACCCAGCTAAAGTTTCCAACCAATGTCTTCAAAAGAGCAGCGTGGGGTGGGAAAGGAGATAGACAAGTCAGCTTCATCCCAGCCCAGCGGTGGATGATTAGCGCTCGAGGAATCGTCGGTAGCACATGTCTTCTCGCTTCTTTTTTCTGTGGCGATGATTTGAGGAATCGAGGAATGTGCTGCTAGTATCTGCTAGTACCCCGTTACTGGTGTTGCATCCCCATTCTGACAACTGTAGAATCAAAGCAGTCCTAAACACATTCACTCAAGAAAGACCACTGCCCTCTTTGATTGATTGTGCTCAGGCCTAGATCCAAGCAAAACCGAAAAACACACATGCACACATCTGCACAAATAGGAAACACCCCTGCCAAACACTTTTACAAGTGTGGCCCCCAATACGGCAGCCACTGACTTCTACTTGTATGTATAGTTGCTTATATATTTACACTTCTTACACACAATGGTGGACGATTGTGGGCGGAACACTGCAAGTTATTTTGGCGGGCACACCTCCCAAAGCTACACTGGCTTCTTTCCGAGCCAAAAAGGTCTCTACCGGTAGGTTGAGAGTCGGATGGAAATCCAGTTCCACCGAAACAAAATCATCTAAACCTCTGTGGGTTTGATGCCTTCGTTCCGAAGTCACAGGACCTTCCCCAAGAACCTTGACCCAAAAACACCTGGAATACTCCATCCACCTGTCGTGAAGAATCCGACATCAGTGAATCAAACAGTTGCAACTCACCCTGTGCAGTGCAACTGGGGAGTGCTTCCCAAGCTGTCTCGATGGTGTGCCCTGGTGCCCATTCAAATCTAGGACACGCAAGTCGCGTCCAGGAAGAAGGGCGTCGGATCATCCTCTTCCTCCTGGAGGGACGCTCGAAGAATCATGGCAACGTCGTGTGGTTTGGGGCCCCAAATGGGCCCAAGACGCTGCCAGCGTCTTTAGATGGGGGGAGACTCTTTTGGGCACGTGAAACGTGTCGAACGTTGCCTCGTCAGCAAGCAGGAATGCAACGAAAAAGATGCTGGCTGGATTGTGTGGGTCACATGGTCTTGACAGTCTCTTGGGAACTGTAGCTCTCCTATTCTGAATCGTGCTAACACATTTTAACGCAAAAGATTGTTCAGCTCGAACCGGTTGTTCAAAGCTCTTCAGCCAACCGACCTTGTGGCGACCGTGGCTCAATGCAAACACCGAGTCCACATGCAAACATATATCCAAAGAAGCCAAGATTCAAACACCCCATCTCTCCAAATCATCTCAGTCGGAACTGAACTTTATCCGCCTGCGGTAGTGACTATATAGATGACCATAGAAACCCTCTGAAGTGGCTCTCCATCCACCCATCCCATATCATCCCGTGCCTGTTCGGGGAACGTCCAGCCAAAGTCGAAGCCCAAGCGCCCTTGGCCGAAACTCCAGAGCTGGACATGTCTGCCTTCCGTTCGACCGGTACGAGAAAGCTTGAGCTGGTGTTTTAATGTCTAAAACATTCTAAAACGCAATTTTGTACAACAACATGGTCACCTCGGTATAAAAACATATATATATATATACCCTGGGAGTCAAAGACTATAAAAATAATGGTTTTTAGGTGACCCGAAAAGGAATATGCTTTACTTCAGTGGGGCAAAATATAGTCTTTGGACTTCTAGGGTATATATATATATACAGTAATTTCATGTAAATTCTAAAAACATTCTAAAAACCAAACCAACCCGGTGCTTGGAATGCACCAGAAGCACCTGCAAGAAGCTGGTTTCGCAGCGAACTTCTGCCGACGGCCGAAACCTCCCTCGCCGCCAGGCGGCAGGCGTCGCCGAACATCGCCTGGAGCGACGTGACCGGCACGGACCGGATCGGAACATGGAAAAAACAAGCGATTGAAATACGATGCAATAGGCTATAGGAATATGATGGAACATGTTTTTTTGTAGGAAGGCAACTTACTATATTTAACTCCAATAGCTTGTCTCGAGATCTTGTGCTTTTCGATGCCTTTCTTGGCAAAGATAGACAGTGAGTCCGAGCATCAGATTCGTGACCCATCTTCCGTGCATACACACACAAATCCACGCAACCCCCGTCCCCACGCATTCCGCTGAAATTTCCGCAGACTTCAGCACAGGTGGTCGTTGCAAGGAGCCTTCAATCCCTTGTCCCTGCACAAAGAACAGCTGCTTTTGCAGCCGTGGTCAACGAATGACAAGCAAATCATTGACCCCTCACATTTCGGGTAAATGCCGACGGCGGAAACACCTTGGCTTCCACAATGCCGAGGCACCTTCAAAAACCATGCGCAAGAGGCCTCTTTTGTGTGGCACCAGGTGCAAAAAATTGTCAAAGCTAAGTATGTGGTGCATGGTGCACTTCTAAATGGTGTCTCCTCCTCACTCCTTCCAACTTGAAGCCACCCAGAACCCACCTCCATTTTAGGGCGGAGGGGTACTGCAGGACGACGAATGGAGTGAATGACTCACGGGAGAATTCTCACGGGTCACTGGAGACGTCTCCGGGGACTTCTCTCGGTCGATGATGTGTGGGAAGGGTCGGCCGAGCCAAAACATCACGCCAGCAATCACACAAATCGCAGCCTGGCCCGGTGAGCGAGAGGTGAGCGGCGGTTTGGGTTGCCATGTGGAAGAGGGAATGGCTGTTTCTTTTGTGCCAAGCTACTGGGTTGAAAGCAGTTTACTGGATGAACTGCGCTGGGTGTCTTTACAGTAAGTCTATCCACAAATTTTGGGGGTGTCAGCCTGGTGCCAATCTGAAGCTAGCGTAAGTGTCAGCATAATTGGCGAACTGTCAAATCGAGTCTGATGTCCCAAAGTGCATTCTCCTCCTCGTGTTTCCACTCTCCCCCTTTCTCTACTTCCTCTTCAGACAGCTAGGGCCCTGATAACGACAAGAAACAAAAACAACACCTGGCAACTGGCAACGTAGGAATATGTAGAATGTTTGGGCATCTGTTTGATGCTGGCCTTTCCATGTCGTGCTTATGCAGCTTGGGAAGGGAACATGGATGAACATATCTGGCCTGAAAAAGGATGAAGGTCTGCACCCCTTCATCCACTAATACGTAGGTGGAGATGACAAAGATGGTACCGCTGAAGACCATCTGAATCAGAATCTCCTTGATTGCCATGGAGATGGCGAACACACAGAAGGATACAAAAGGGATGTTTACATAGGGACATGGCTCTGAGTGTGCAACTGTTGCCCACCGCCTGAGATAAAACAAACGGCCCGACTGTATAATATGGGTGGTGCAGGTTTTGTATATTTTGTCTTCCTCAGCAATCCCATGATGCGCCCTCTTGGTCCGTGCTTGCTGGGTGTTTTTTCGCGAAAGTATCCACATGGCTTGCTGTGGGTGCAGCTCCGAAACAAGCGAAACCACCAAAAGTGGTCTCATTAGCGTCCAATATGGATACCAGCTTCAGTTCCACAACATGCAAGTGACAGTTGGGGAGGGTGTGCATCAACGCACGCATTCAGGGGATTGTCCAAGAATGGCCTTGCTCAAGCGTGCTTTGCTTTGCGCTTCGCAGGACCCTGAGGGAGTTTTCGCTCCCTGAGCTTTCGTGCGATTTCGCTCTGCTGGAGGGTTTATCCAGCTTTCATGCTCGCAAGTGTAACGAGTTTAAGAGTTGGGATCCACTTCTGGCTCGCACCACAATGATGAGTTCATTCTTGTTGAAACGTACCTGTGCAACTCACAACACATTTGCTCAGTCCCCAAATGATTCACTCAATCGCCTGTTGAAATTGCACCCTCCCGTTGACAGCCTCTACCTCTTGGGTTCCTGCGGCATCCGGGTTTGGGATTCATGCGGAGAAGCCTGCAGGAAGCCCATGCACTTCCCCAAAGACTTGTTGAGGCCAACTGGTGGCCTTGGAAGTTCTTTTGTTGGTTCGATGGACACCTTACAAGAGAAGGGCCAGGACATTCTTGATATTCTGGAACAAGGGCAAACCCTTTGATCTGGGTGTTTGCAACACTCGAATGGACTTCATATGAAAGCTTGTCCTGGGCGACTTTCAGTTTCGAAGCCACTTTGATGGACATCTGACTTACAACAAATCCTAAACAATCAAGCACTGTATATGCGTTTGTAGATATAGGGCACCCCAAGACTGACTTCTAGTACATTATGTTTTGCATGTATCTGTATATGTGTATACAAGGTAAACTATTGTGCACTCAAGAAACTATATATGTATATGCATGACTGTGCATGTGGTTATAAGTGGTGACTGGCAATATGACTGGCAATATGCGTGAACAGTTCTTTCTCACATATTGAATCTGCAGCCAAGATTGAAGAGTCAACATTCAACATGCTGAAACAAGCCAGCTTTGTTTCCCTGAGGTCTTGAATCTTGAGCCCTCATAAGCCCTCCATGCTTGCGACTAGTTGCAACTAGTTGAAAGTAGTTACTTCAGGATTGCTGGAACAACTTTTTCCTCAACTCTTGAATCGTTAATCTTGAGTTCCACCATTGCAACTAGTTCCCTCTAGGTTCAAGATTGCCGGATATTGTTCTCCTCAAACCTGAAATCTTGAATAATGAATGCCACCTGGTGCAGGAGGTGGGGTATTGACATACAGTGGATTGAGAGTAGATGGCACAATCGCCAAAAGGTGGTTTGTATGGATCCCCATCTAAAAGACATCTTGGGGTTTGTGCCATCTACTCCGAAAACACTGTAATTGATTGTCTTACTTGGTTTAGGTATAAATTCAAACAGTATTTGGGAGCAAGGGAGCAAGGGTGGTTGATTCAATCCTGCTCAAAGTGCCACACAATTCAATGGTACAGTTATTCAGTTTAAGTGATACTGGTCATGTCAAAATGTGTGGTGATACTGGTAAAACCATCTAAGTCGATATCATTAGGACAGGTCAGGTTCTTCAGTAGTCAACTCTTACTGATGGTAGTACAAAGCATTTAGATGCACAGCATAATCCAGTTGGTAGATGAAAAAACCACTAATAGATGGAGGGAACACCTAGCCAGCATGTTGCTAATGTTCCAAATATTACTATTTATGGCATCAATAGTTATGGTATATAATGACATCGAAAATATTTGGCTTAAAAATATCGATCCTTTCATTGTAGTTGATGCTATATTGCAATTGGGTCAAAAGCAAATTATCAAAAGTGAAAGGTCTTGCTGAGAAAACAGATGTGGTGGAATAGTATACCATAAACAATCTTTGCCAGCAGTAACAAGTGTTGAACACCTACAAAACACCAAAAAGTAGATACCTGGGGGGACAAGCACATTTGGAGTGTGGATCTGCACGGAGATGAACATGGAAACGATCAGCATGTTCGCTGCCCTCGCACGGCGCATTCGTCCAAGGTTCGCAGGCTGCAGCCAAGCCGGCACAATCCTCAAGTGTCTCGAAGTAGAGGACGTTCCTTTGCAAAGCTGCTTTGGCCAGTCCGTGGAAGTACATCTATTCAGGTGAAGGGTGATGATTTGGCAAGCTGAAGGTCCCGGGCCTCATGAATAGACTAGACTTTTCCATGCCTTCACTGAACAGTGTGGGAAGACCATCTCAAACGATGTACATCGAATCTTCAAGTGTGGAACTGTCGAACAGTCCAAAATCTGCAAACCACACTGCCAGGTTTCACTGAGGTATATGCCATCATCATGGAAATTGCCTGCCGAAAACCGGGTGAGCGATATGAAACACTCCCATCAACCTATCCCAAACCCTCGATGCATATTCATATTCATATTCATATAGAACATCTACCTAAATTTTCGTGGTTTAGGGATGGTCAGTCGTCTTATTCAGGTAAAGTATAATTACATGCAGTGCCTGCGTATGAATTGACCAATGACAAATGGCATGCTATTCATATACCATTTAATCGCGAGCACCACAGCATCTCCTTCGCCTGAGCCTTTCAACGGGTTTTTCTCGATATTCGAAGCCAAAACTGTTGTCCGCTTCTAAAGAAACTGGTTGTATCACGTGCATCTTGCATCTGTCCAAGTCAATATGTGCAGTTTGGCAAACATATACGGGTTAACAACAAGGACAGCGGACAGCAGAATACCTTTTGACTTCATGTTTCTGGCAAAGTGGATGCCCTGCGGCTTTGAAGCAACCATTTAGCAAAACGTTTACATATGTACATGCACATAGGTTCCTTTTCGGTCATTTCGCGCGCCAAAATATGGAACCATGTTTAAACAAAGAGCTGTCTTGATTAAGCAAAAGAGCACTTACAATGGAACGGTTTTAGCGTCGTTAATTCCACCGACCTTGAGATCAACTGGTACTGTAAAATTTAGACTTAAACCATAAACCAAAGGGGCCTAGAACTTGATGTTGAAATGTTCAGCACATGAACGGTGTCTTACTTCTATTAAATCTGTTGTTTTGACGGTGGTTTCTGCTTTTTGGCACCTTGAGGGTTTAAATCGATCTTATTCCTTCTGACTGGCCAGTTTCTTTTTGACATTCTATTCCAAGCACGTACGTTATTTCTGCATCTTTCTGCAATAGTATCATTGCACGAAAAATGACATAGAATTCCTTCCCTTGGTGTTGATATATTCTCTGCATAAGACCTTTTCATCTACTCAGTATCCATTTTCATGTTTCTCATTTTCCTACGTAGGTGTTGGACTACTTCCAGGCAAATTTAACCTGCAAAAACTATCCCATATCTTAAAGCACTCCTGTTTCATTCATTGATATCTTCAACTGATGCCACATCTTCCTAAAACTCTTCTTCAGTCATGCTACTTAGTTTGCAAACTGTCTGCTGTGTCATTCTTATGTTTTCCACTAGTATTGG